ATCACTTTCCCAGCCAAATACCCAGAGACAGGGTCAAAAGCTAACTTCCTTTCCAGAATCAGAAGCCCTGGGTGGATGGGGCTGCTTAAGGGAGGGAGGGGACCTGCGCACCATGGGAACAGGAAGGACACAGAGGTGGCACCCCATGGGTCTTCCAACACCTCCAACAGGCCAGCAAGGCAAGACAATGAGGCAGACCAAGGGGCGTTTCTTGGGGATGAAGTAGTGTGGGAAATGGTGAGTAACGGGTAAAGGGGTGGCTTGGTGGGTTCAAGGGGATAATGCACAGGGCTGGGTATATAGTTGGCATCTAATAAGGGAGACTTATTGTCATCACATAGCTGAACCCCAGCTTAACAGCAAATTCTTCTACTTATTTAAACAAACATTTGTTCGGTTTTTGGTGGGAACAGAGGTTCTCAAACTTGAGCAGGCATCAGAATTACCTGGCTGGCTTGTTTAAAATGCAGATTGCGGGGCCCATCCTGAGTGTCTAATTCGGGTGGTCTGAGGTGGGGCCCTGGAATCAGCATCACTAACAAGTTCTCAGGTGATGCTGATCTCATCATTCAGGGAACACACTTTGAGAATCCCTGCCTTGGAGCAACAGATGAGACAGATCACCCTGCCCTCGTGAGGGCACTGAATGAGTAAACATCACAGAACTTGTATGTTCTGAAGTGGGACATGCAGAGTGCCTAGGGCTGCTCGCAGGAGGGGGAGTTCGCGCTAAGACTTGAAGGGCCAAGTAGAGCCAGCCCAGGAAGTGGAAGAGGGGTGAAAATTTCATGAAACACTTACTTAGAATGTGCCAGGCTCTCTCTCATATCATTCATCCGCTCTTCCCAGTCAATGTCAGGAAGGTAGGATTCACGTCCATTTTACAGATGAGGAAGGTGAGGCTGAGACAGGGAAATAACTGGCCCGAGAACTCATGGCAAGAAAGAAGCCCAGGTCTGTTTGTGCATAGGACGCCTACCAGCAGCCACATCCCCTCTGCTGCAGCCCCAGGAACCCCCTTCTTCCCAGGGGAGCTACCACCTGGACACAGCTGCCGGACCCGGCCAGTCGCACTCCGTCCATTTCCCCCACTGGAGCTCTTCAAGTGTTTTCACTGCTGGGTGAATTCAGCAGATGCCTTTCGATCGCAGCCTATTAAATTAGCCCCTCTCTGCAGCCAAAAGAAGATAATTATGTTTTCATTAGCCCTGGATAATGTATTACCCCCTCGGTGACAGCCACATCAGTGAGACCAGCCTCCTCCCTTCCTCCTCCTGCCCAGGGCTCCACCAGAGCACTCCACTCCCCTGGGGTCCACCTCTGCACTAAGGGGTGGTCACCAGTGAGGGTCCAGCGTGGCTGGGAGGTGGGGGGAAGGGACACCCTTTTCTTGACCTGAAAAAAAGGCCAAGAATAATTGTTATCACGGTGACCATTTATGAAGTGCCTGCCTTGTGCTGATGCCAGGACGGGTCTCAGCTGGTTTGATCTTCCAATAGCTCGAGAGAAGGGTGGCACAACCCTCATCTTCCCCTGAACCCCAAAGGGGTCTTGGTAGAATCAGGTTATTGTGACAGCCCAGAGCGGCTTCCAAGGCACTACACCCAAGGGGCATTTGGGGGACTGTCACTGTGCATTATCGCAAGGCCACCTGGTTGGTGGTAAAAGTCTCTTCCCTCCACTTGCTGGGGATCTCTGGAGACAATGCCCAGTACTCATGTGGTAGCGGTCTCCAGACACCAGGAGCCACTCTCCCCAAACCTGAAACACTCCCCGGATGGCTCCGACATCCTCACTCTCCCTCTTTCTCCACAAGACAGAGGCGAGGAGGCAGGAAAAGTCCCACTTTGGGGTCCCGAGTTCTAATATCTGCTTTACCACCGATTACCTGGGTGACCTGGAGCAAGTCACTTGGCCTCCAGAGCCTCTATTTTCTCCCTCTGTAAAATGGGAATAAGAAAGGGAGTCATCTCTTACCATTTTTGTGATGATTCGGTGAGATATACCTATTAAATGCTTGGCTCAAAACCAGTGAAATGAGAAGTGCTCAATAGAAGATGGTCATTGTTCTCTTTACCACCGCAACTAGTGTCCCTAGTTCCCGTTAATCCTGGGGAAACCACCAGAGGGAGGGAAGGGAAGTCTGGCTCTGTCTGTCACTGTCCATCTTTCTCTGTATCTCTGTCTTTCTTTCCTATCTCTGCCAATCTCTCTCTCCCTCTCTCTCTGCCAGTCTCTCTGTCAATCTGCCGATCTCTCTGCCTCTCTCTTACTCTCTCTGTCTCTCTTTTTCTCTCTGCCAATATGTCTCTGTGTATTTTTTCTGTCTCTGCCAATCTGTCTGTCTCTGTGTCTCTCTCTCTCTTTGCAAATCCCTTTGCCTCTCTCTTCTCTTACTCTTTCTGCCAATCTCTGTCTCCCTCTGTTTTCTCTGTCTTTCTCTCTGTCTCTGCCAATACGTCTCTGTCTTCCTGTCAATCTTTCTGTCTCTTTTTCTGTGTGCTTTTTCTATCTCCATCTCTGCCAACCTCTCTCTCTCTCTGCCAGTCTTTCTGTCTGTTCTTATCTGTCTCTCACTGTCTCTGCAGTCTCCGCTGTCTCTGTCTCTCTTGTCTATATATCTCTCTCTGCCACCCTCTCTGCCTCTCTCTCTTCTCTGACTCTGTGTGTGTGTGTGTGTCTGTTTTCCTCTCTCATCTACACACACACACACAGAGGGCACCTCATGGTCCCTGGCTCCACCCATGGGCTCTGAGACTCTGTCTTCCCAGATCTCTGTCTCAAGAGCTACATTCTAAGGCTTTGCTTTTAATTGCACCAAGGCACCTGGAAGTGAGGAGAGAAGTGAGGGGAGTGGGGTTTCTGTCCCGCTCTCCCCAAATCCAGCCAACTCTGCCTTCTGCAGGCACAGCCAGCCTTGGCCCTGACGCCACTATCTCCACCATCTCGTGGCCGTGCATTCCCTCCCAACCACGCTTCTCCCCAGTTTCAAAACAGCTTGTGCTCCCAGAGGGGAAGTGCCCCTACTCTGAGCTTCTTTGGGCCTCGACTCACACACAGGCAGACGTGGACTCTGTTTTGAGCAGGTGAACCGCCAGCCCAGTGGAACAGCAGCTTCCCTTCCCCTGGCTTCCTGATTTCCCCAGTTGCCATGGTAATTGAGGGAGCAGCGTTCTGAGAATGACACCACTGAAACCCAGCACTCAACTTTGAAATGGTTCAGGCAAGGGACGCTGGACCCAAGACAGGAGGGGACCAGACTGTAAGGACTCAGCTCCAGCCTCAATTTTCTGGGACCCGCCCCCCATCCAGTCTGTGTACCACTGTTCTTACTCTCATCATCATCAAAATCATCATTATTGTTGGCAACTGTTTCCTGAGCATTTACTATATGTCTAGCACTATGTCAAGGGCTTCACCAACACCATCTCATTGTGTATATCCTCACGACATCCCCAGGCCCATCCATGGCTCAGGAAACAGGCTCTGAAACTTGCCCTTGTGGCAGTCAGGAAGCGGCAGAGCTCTGGGGCTGGCGGCATTCCTCCAGGCCTCCTTCCATGTCTATGGAAGACAGCATAGACCTCCATGCACCCTCATCAGCTTATTCTTTATTCCTTCCTCCCCTCCTCATCCCCCACACCCCTCTTCCTGCCCCCAAAGTCACACCCCCCTCCCCTGCTGGATGTGCAAGACATCTGAAAAGCATTTATTAGTGACAAAGGGGGTGGTGGTTTTCCTCTTTGCCTCTTCTCTGTGCAACTCGAAGCCTGAGTGGGTTTGCTCCACTTGGCAAGGCTGGGGAGGAAGAAAAGATCAAATCACCCAGAGCCAGGTGCCAAGTGTGTGTGTGTGTATGTGTGTGTGTGTGTGTGTGTGTGTGTGTCCTCTCTTTCCTTGCTTTTCCCCCGTTTTCCCAAGACTGTGTGAGCAGCAGCAACAGCAACGGGGAGATGCAAAATCCTTTGCAATCTGCCCAGGAAAAGACAGCTTTTGAGTCGGGTTTATATGGTTACCCATATGTTAGGGCCCCTAAGAAAGGAAGGGAAGCTACGTTCCCTGTGTCTTCCCCTCCTCCAGCCCAGACCTTGGCCTCTCCACACCTGTGGCGCTCCCAGGCCACAGATGAACATGTGCCCTCCATCCTTCCCCCTCCCCAGATGCCAGGCCTGAGTGTGGCTCCAGAAAAGACCAGAACCAGGCAACATTTCCTGAACAGGCTGCCTTTCTCCGTCTGTCCACCCAAGAGCCAAGGCCAGAACCCAGGCTGCGACTCTGCGGGCTCCCGGGAGGGGCTCCCAGCACTGCCCAACCTGGGGGGCTGTGTATTCCACTGTCCCATTAAGGAATGCTATTCCAACACTGATGTAGAGACAGAAATTGCCATCCCTGCCTCCCATGGGGCCTTCTCTGCCCAAATAGACCTGCCCTCCCCTGCGTGGCTACTACATTCAGCCCTCTCCAGGCTCCCAGAAATTGTCGTTGTGTATGTGTGTGTGTTTCCTGATAGAAAAAAAAAAAAAAATGGAAATTAGGTTATATAAAAGATGTATGCTTTGGAGCCCAGAGCGGCTCTTTTAATGAGGGTTGCGACGTCTCCCTCCCCACACCCATAAACCAGTCGGGTTGGACGTCACTACTAATTCGTTTCAGCGATGATAGGATAAAGGAGGGACATTAAGAAATAAATTCCCCCTCACGACCCTCGCTGAGCTCACGGCTCAGTCCCTACATATTTATGCCGCGTTCCCAGCGGCCGGGTGAGGAGCTACTTAGCGCCGCGGCTCCTCGGAGGGGCGGCCGGGCAGCGAGCAGCGGCCGAGTGGACGGGGTGAGCCAGGGGCGCGTGCGGGGCGCCCAGCACTGCGCCGGGGAAGCTCGCAGCCTCCGTCCCGAACTTGGGTTCGCTGAGGCTGAGGGAGGGGACGCAAGGGGAGGGGAGAAGAGAAGGGAGGAGTGGGGACTAGGGGAGAGGGGGTGGGGAGGGATCTTGGAGGCACAAAGCGGAGGGGAAGGGGAGGGACGCGCGCGGCTCCTACCAGGAGGCGAGTGGGTGCAACCGGCGCCCTCCAGCCGCGCGGGGCGGCGGACTCGGAGGATTCAGAACCCGGAGCGCGGCGGCCGCTGGCGCCCGGGAGGAAGAGGAGGAGTAGGAGGCGGGCGGGCGGGTGCGCAGCGCGAAGAGGCAGCCTCCGCGCTGCCCGGCTCGGCGGCAGGTGAGTTCCTGATCCAGGCGTCCCGCGCCCCTTCTCCGTCCCCAGGGCTCCCCGCTCCCGCCCGAGTCCCTGGTGTGCGCGGAAGGCTCAGGCTTTGCTGCGCGTCCCAACTTGGTTCGGGCGGCCTCATTTTCCTCCTAGCGGGCGGCCCGAGGCCGGGGGCTCCGGTCCGGGGGTCTATGCGCCCAGGCTCCAACTTTGCAGGACCCCAGTCGCTCCCCAGCCGCGCGCTCGGCTCCGAGCTGTGCGCTGGCGGTAATGGCGGAGCCCTTGGCACAGCTCGCTACCTTCCCGCGGGCAGCCCTGGCTGGGGGATGCCAGTCCCTGGGGACCGTTGTACCTGCCCAAGCTCAACTTTACGCCTTCCTCTGTGCCAGACTCTGCGGCCGAATTGCAACTGCGAGCCGCAGGTAATGGCGGAGTCTTTGGCACCGCCAGCCGTCCGCTGCTGGGGGCCCGAGGCTGGGAGGGCTCCGCTCCCCGGAACATCGCCTGGGCCTGGCCTCCAACTTTGTGAGGAGCCTCCTTGCGCTCTCCTCCCGCGGTCATGGCGGGGCCGCCCGCACCTCGCACTTCTTCCGTCTGGGCGAGATTGGGGTGTAAGAGCGCCGTCTCCAGAACCTGGGAAAGTTGTGCCTCTCCCACGAAGGAAGCTCTAGGGAGGCCGAGGGGCGCGCTCCGCCGCGGTTTGGGGCTGGGCAGCGGAACCAGAGCTCGGTGAGGTTGTTTCCAGGTGGCTAAGGGTCGGAGCAGGGTCCCCGGGAGATCCAACTTCCAGGGCCACTCAGGGACCTTGCGTCCGCGGTCCTGGAAGGGGCTCTCTCGGGACTGCGCCCCAGAGGAAGCCAGACGCTCGCCCCCACCCGCAGGGCACTGTGACCAGAGAGCTCGTGGCTCTCCAAGCTCCGCATCAAGCTGTCTGGGGTAGACATCCAGAGAGGAAAGGCTCTCACGGAGAAGGCAGCCGAGGAGGGCAGGAACCTTTCCAGTGACTCCCCTGGGTTCTGGTCCTAGATCGACCCTTGTGTGACCTTCGGTAAGTCTCTTCATCTTTCCCAGCCTCAGTTTCTCATCTGTAAAATGGAGAAACAGTACCTTTTTCGTGGGTCTGTTGTGAGGACCTTAAAAAATCATAAATGTGAATATGAAGTCAGGGTAAGTGTTCATAACGCAGGAAGTGTTGCTGATTTTTCTTTTTTTTTTTAACCATTATTGTAACGCTCTGGGACGGATCTGGGAGACTCGCACGCAGGTCTAGGGTTTCCCGCCAGTGGGAACTGGGGGGGTCTAGCCCACAGGGTACTACAGGCTGCAGAAGGTTGCTCTCGCCTCCATCTCTAACCCGGTAATCCTGGGGAAGACGCATGGGATTCTTCCTTCTACTCTCATAACCCAGCTCAAACCCTGCGCTCAGGCCTAAGAAAAGCGCGCACAGCCGCCACGGAGGGAGGGTCCCTAGGGACGCCGCTAGGCAAGGGTGCGGTGCAGGCGAGAGCTCCTCTAGGCGCCTCATCTCACCTCTGGCGGCCCAGGACCTTGGGAGACAGCAGAAAGGAGCCCCCAGACTGCTCCTCCCGAGAGGAATGAGGGAAAATTGCTCCCTTTCTTCAGTGCTAATTGGGGTCGGGGCAAACGCAAGAAATTCATAAACACACGAGGGAACACTGACGCAGCTCTCTGGAGCATAGAATTTTCCCCCGTTATTTCTTCAGAACTGAAGATAAATCCCCCCAAGTGCGCATGGGTCGCATCCGTTCTCCGCCCTCAAGGCATCTCAGCGGATGGTTTGAGAAGCCTCGGCAGGTCTCTGAAGGAGGGGGTCTCTGTCCCACCAGCACCGCCACAGCGGCCCCGGCCCCTTTCCACTAGCCTGGATTTCAGAGGCGCCCTGAGGGGCACACAGCTCTGTCACTGACAGCTCCAAGGCACTGTCACACATATTATTCACCTGGAGCCTCTTAACAACTCTCAGGTTGCCAGTGCAGCCATCTGAATTCCATTTTGCAGCTGTGGAAATTGAGGTGTGGCAAACCAAGCTACCTACCCATAGTCACCTAGCTGGTAAGTGGCACTACCCAAGACCTCAACCCCAATTTTTGCTTTCTTAATTGGGGGCATTTTGCATACATCTGGGAACCTACGCAGTCTGACATGTACCGGAACCTTGGCACGCATGGCTGTATTTCCTGATACATCTGCTCAGCCAGAGGCCAGCCATCCCTATGGTCAGAGGCATGGCTTTGTCTCCGCGAATTGTGTGATTTTTTTTCCCCAGATCCCAGATCATGTAGAGAAAGAGTGAGCAGTGTGGTAGAGACCTGGTGAAGACCTCAGCTTGAGGCCAAGCTTAGCTCACTCCATGGCTGTGTGACCTCAGATTGTTCACTTAACCTTTCTGAGCTTCGGTTCTGTTATCTGTAAAATGAGAACAGTAACTCCCACACGGGGCTGTTTTGAAGACTTTGTGATTATGTGTGCGAAAGGTGTTCTAAAAACAATGCTGTTATGTCAAGATTGGTGATTGTAAGGCAGGAAGGCCTTACAATCCGAAACAAATGGAGCCGTTTGGGGCCAATAGTGTCATCGTGGCTTTCAGAGCAGCCTGCTTTTTGCCCTTTCTGTCTCCTCTTTGTTTTTCCCAAATGGCCAAAGCCAGTCCTCAGGAGCCTGTGTATTCCACGGGGAAGGACCTCGCGGAGAAGAGTGAGAGGGCGGGGGTATTGTGACAGGTTAGGCTGCTCCCAGTGGGTCTCTGTGAGTAAGATGCAAAGAGTTGTCCAAGGTACCACTCAGACAGTTGTCCAGAAATTTCCCCGCTGGCAGGGTTGCTGATTTCCCAGGAGGCAGGAAGATTGGGAGGTCAATTTGCCTGCATATTGTGAGCACAGACAGGTTTGGCTGTGCCTGTTGCGCTCACAGTCTGCTGATGTTTTGGGGTGTCTTATGACAAGACTTCATGTGTTGCCTGTCACTCAGGTTCTGTGGGCCTGTGCAGAGCTTGGAATGTGGTTAAGAGCCACAGGCAACAATCAGTGCTCATGAGAACTGGGGCTTTTTCCCATTAGAAACTGGAATTTGTAGGCTGGGCGCGGTGGCTCATGCCTGTAATCCCAGCACTTTGAGAGGCCGAGGCGGGCGGATCACGAGGTCAGGAGATCGAGACCATCCTGGCTAACACAGTGAAACGCCATCTCTACTAAAAATACAAAAACTTCTCCGGGCGTGGTGGTGGGTGCCTGTAGTCCCAGCTACTCAGGAGGCTGAGGCAAGAGAATGGCGTGAGCCCAGGAGGCGGAGCTTGCAGTGAGCCGAGATCACACCACTGCACTCCAGCCTGGGCAACAGAGTGCAGTTCCGTCTCAAAAAAAAAAAGAAAGAAAGAAACCAGAATTTGTAGAAGTTGATTTTGGCATTTCAGGACCCTTTTTAATCTGGATTGTTTGAACAGGGGGGCATGTTTCCTGCCACGGATCAGTGTGGGTTTTTATGGTTAACACCACATAAGTTATAGACATGACCATTTTCCTTGTTCTAATATATGATAACATTTAAACATCATCTAATCCAGCAAATGCCAAACATCAGCCCAGTGGGCCTTTAGTGTCAGAATACAGCAAGTCACTGGTTAAAAGCAAAGATGCCAGACCCCACCCTAAATCTACCAAATCAGCATCCCTGGGGGAGACTGGAAATATCTATATTTTTAACAAGGCTGCTCCAGGAGATTCTAATACCCTCAGTTTTTGTCTGTCACCCTCCTTGTACAAATTGGGAAACTGAGGCCCAGGAAAGGCATGTGACTCGATGAAAGTCACACAGCACATTACTGCCAAAGCTGGGATAGAACTTCAGTGTCTTGACTCGCTGTCCAATCTTCACTGATGATAACTTCATGTTTCCTTTGGTACAAGCCCTGTAAATGCCGGAGTTTAAAGAACTTTAATTTCATCTTTCTGATTGTCATTCTAGATTAGACCAACTGCTCAGAGGAGACTGAAAATAAGTCCTCCCACCTTGACCTTGCTGGGTGTCAGCACTGAGTTCCCATCTAATCTTGGACATTAGCCCCACTATTTGATCTATCCCTTTCAGAGGGAATATTCCTTTTTTTTTTTTTTTTTTTTTTTTTTTGAGACAAGGTCTCTCTCTATGGCCCAGGCTGGAGTGTAGTGGCGTGATCACAGCTCACTGGAGCTTCGACCTCCTGGGCTCAACTGATCATCTCTCCTCAGCCTCTCGAGTAGCTGGGACTATAGGCGTGTGCCACCACACCTGGCTAATTTTTTTATTTTTGGTAGAGACGGGGTTTTGTCACGTTGCCCAGGCTAGTCTCGAACTCCTGGGCTCAAGCCATTTGCCTGCTTCGGCATCCTTAAGTGCTGGGATTACAGGTGTGAGCCACCACGCCAGGTCTAGAAAAATTCCTTTTATAAGTGACCTATCGGGTATAACTTCTGCAAAGAAGTCATCACAGAGCTGATAAACCCAGTTTAACTACCATTGATTTCACCAAAGCCATTGGTTTGAGCTCATTTCAGCAGCCCTTCGGCCTTCCACCCAGCCTTTGCAAGTGTGTTTGTGCTGCTCACATGCCTGTTCTTAAGGTAAAAGAATGATGAGCAGTACCCGGCAATGCTGGAAAATTGAGCCCATTCGAATCTTTTAAATGAAAATGATGTATCAACAGAAAGTGCCTCTAAGTCTCTAATTCAAGTATGGTTAACAGGGTATAGTGGACGTGGGTCTTGGCACATCATATGATGCTAAGGATGAACAGCAGTTACCGTGGGCCGCTCGGCAGCAGACGTCAGCACATTTATCGTATGTGTCATGATACGTGTTAAATGGCAAGGCCACTGCTGGGCCCCAAGGGCAGGTGCCCAGATAAAGGTGGTGTGAGCCCCACTCTAATGAAGCCTGCAGTCTGGCTAAGCGGTGAGCAACAGGCAAGCCCTGTACCTGGCATGAAGTTTCTGCAAGAGAGGTGGAGGTGAGGTGCT